AGGAGACTACCAGGCGCTCACCCGCCCTTCCCCTCCAGCTCTGCCTGCAGACCTGTGGCCACCTCCCTCACTGCCACCCTCAATGCAGCATTCCTTCTCTGTTCCAGCTTCTGGAGGCTTCTGAGCCAGGCAAGGATCAATATGACCCTGCCTGCTCCCAGGAATACCCTGGACCACCTGGAGAGCCCTGTTCCCTAGACTGCCTGGACCGCTCTTTAACCCCAGAAGAAAGAGGGGTTAATAAAGGGGACAACCCACCTTGAGCTCAGGTGTACTACCAGTCACGGACAGCAGAACTGGAAGAGGCCTGAGAGCTCAAGTTGTCCAAGCCCTGCGCTCCCCAGATGAGGAACTGGAGGTCCAGAGAGGATCAGGGACTTCCCAGGGTCACAGGGCCTATAAGTAGAGGAGATGGGACAAGAACACAACTCTTTTACCTGCCAGTTCAAGGCTCTGTCTCTGCAGAAGGAGGCAGTGCTGACGGCTGTTATAAAGGTGGTCAAGGCTGATGGGGGGGTGAACAGTCTATTTCAAGGGTCCCCATTGCTGACCACGAGGATTGCATGGCTGAGCCCAGCCCAAGGTGTGGCATATTCTGGGAGATGCCCAGGCCTCCCTTGCCTTCTGAGCCTGGCTTCTGCTGGGGACTCAACATGCACTACCAACTTGAAGTCCCAACCCCCTTACCCTTGCTCCAAGAAGAGGCCAAAGCAAGGACAGAGTTCCCCAATCCAGGCAGCAGTAGCAATGCAGCAGGAAACCCCAAAACCTGTGCTCTGCCAGGGGACTCACATCTGGGAGCAGCGTGGCAGGCATCTTGAAGGGCACTTGTCCCTGAAGCTCCCTGGGCCAGTTTTCTGTAGTTTACAGTTAGAGCTCTATTTTGTTATGGTTTTTTAAACTTTTAAGTCCTGCTCTATTTTCCTGGGCAGGTTTATGTTGATGTTTACCCAGTACAATTTTTTAAAAAACGTCAGCTCACACAACTTCTCCCTGCCACCCCACAGCCACCTCCCTGCAATCCAGGACTGCAAGGAGGCTACGGGCTTAGCTAAGCCACCATTCCCCCTCACAGGGACCCCAGATTTGGCCTAGCATCTCTCTTTGTGCCCTGCTGGCTATGATTTGGCCCGTGCCCAGTTCTCTACCAGAAGGGGACACTGAAAGAAGCTTCCCCAAGGTTTATCTGATTCTTTCCTCACTGCCTGGGGCTGCAGCAGGGGAGACAGGGAGCCTACTTGCCAGGCCGGGATGAGCTGCTTTGGCACAGGAGCTAACCAGGGATGCGGGAGGCTGAAGCCCCTAAGCTTGTTTGAAGGAACACTCATGGTCAAGTACCTTACTTCAAAGAGGTCCATTAGAAAGAGGGGGATGGTGATCTGCTTGGGAGACCCCAAGGTTTCTTACCAGAAAACCTGACTGCTCCAGAATTTGCTTGGGGGACAGACCCATAGAACTCTATTATTATAGTAGATGTTCCTGAAGCATGAGACTGCACGTGACTGAGGTTATAGGCTTGTAAAATGGAATAGCTTCTTGCTGGGGTGGTTTGGAGGAACAGACTAGATTAGGCAGCTTCCAGAGTCCCTTCTGCCTGAGGGGCCTATGATTTTGTCTTCTCTGCTTGGATGGGCAGGGGGAGCTGAGTGGGGCTGTCTTGCTGCAGTCCGGACGCAATTCTGAATTCCCTCCTCTCACACCAAGCCCCAGAGAGAGGCAGAAGCAAGGGTTAGTTCAAATAAGTATTTTGCTGCCTCACAGCTTAATAATGACGAGTAAATGCCCTGAGAACTAGGGACAGCCAGCCTAAGATGCCTTTTCAGGGCTGGGCAGACAAGTGCCCACTGATCTGCAAGCACTGGAGCTCAGGCAGCAGCACATACCTCCTTGGTACTTGTGTCTCTAACAGGGCAGGAGGGCGGGGACTCTCTGCATCTGCTCACAGAGTTGTGGGGCTTACAGGGCAGCTTCTACTTTCATTCAGGGTAGCAAATCACAAGGTGATGCCAGGGAGTAGCAAGGCCATGGGGGGTGGGGGTGGGGTGGGGGATTTTTTTTCCTTCTTTTAATAAAGTAACAGGAGAGACTGAAGTTAGACATGAGAAGAAGCTTCTGCAATGAGACCCTGGAATAAGTAAGCAGTTACTTCTCTAGAGACCTCTGAGGACTTTGGAGTGTTGGTGTAGTCTAGGTTAGGTGAAGCTGTGACTGGAGGGATAGGAGATGCTGTCTGTCCTTCCAGAGCTGAGTCTTAGAATCAAAGCATAGGAAGATGTCATCTGTTGTGGTCCCTGTGTCTTAAAGGAAGCCATTAAAGAGGAAGGGTCACCCAGGAATTGTGGTGGCAACACAGTGCCTTCCCCAGCATGTACTGCCCCTTGGCAGTCCCCAAAGCCATCCAGCCTGCACTCTGGGCAAGAGCCAAGACGGCTAAAGATGTTTTGCTCCTCTCTTCCTGAGATCGCCAGTGGGGCTCCTGCATGTCACAGGGATAGTAGTACCCTCACACCTGTGTCACCGGCACGGGTGTGATGTTTGTCTCCCCAGCTCAAGACTCAACCTGGGCCAAAGACTCCTGGAGTAGTTTAGTGATCAGATAGGCATTCTTTTCTAAGGAACTTCAAAGAATCCCGTGGAAACAGGTACCTAGAGCCAGTGGCGGGAGGGGCGGTGCCCCATGAACTTGTATATATGGTCATAGGCTTTGGGAAGGAAGGGCCATAAAGGAAAACTGGAGAGGAACAAAATGGGTCAGACAGATTTGCCCAGAGTCCTAGGCAGCCCCAGGCCTAAGGCACTTAGTACCCTTGGATAGGGTGCACCTGCCTTGGTCCAAGGTACCTCCAACTTGCCACCTGCTTCAGGGCCTGCCCAGCTTAGAGAAGCTCAGGACTTGGCAAATGCTATGGCCTAATAGACCACTGACTATACGGCTTTTGTTCAAATGGAGCCACTCCCACGGGCCCACTGTTCCACTCTTATACTTCTTGTATGGTAGTTATTTATTGACTCTGGTAGCAGACAGTTCGTAAATAAAGATGGTTTCTCAACCTGTCGGCTGGCAGTGGCTGTGGATTTTTATTATCACTTGGCTCTAGCACATCTCCTGTCCTGTCTGGTAACCTGAGGCCTCTATCCAGGGCCTTCAGCCATCACAGTGAATCCTGTTAGAACATGCAGTCTGTATCGCTTCCTCCAGTCCTGGGAAGGGAGAAAACTGCCAGGGGACTCAAGCAGGTGACAGAACACAGCAGGCACTTTGCCAGATGGGCTGGCTTCATCTAACACAGTGGCAGCAAACAATACCTGTGGATGGAACCGCTTTAAGGTCCCCTGGCTTTGAAAACATTTGAGGTGTTGACTCAGTGGTCCCAAAGGGAGGTCTTTCCCCTTAGAGAGATCCCAACTGGGGAGCACGTGACTGCTCCCTCTGCTCTCTGCAGCCAAAGGTTGTGATTACTACTCAGTTTGCAGCCACAACTCACACGTTCAACAAACACTGATCCAACATTCACAACAGATGAGCTGTGCCTGTGGCGGCACACAGTCCTGTATTGGATTTTCAGTGCAAAACAGGTACAAAGGGGTCCATCCTGCTCATAATTTTCTTGAGGGAGATCAAGGTGAGTGGAGAGGGCCTGTTCAGCAAGAGAAAGGTCCCATGTAGACACCAGTCTGACACAACAAGGTCACCTCTTCCTTTTTCACCCCAAGTGGATGTTGGGAGCACACTATCGAACCCAAATTTTAGTCCAGTCAGCCTCTCCTTGACCCTCTAGAGGCAAATTACATGCACAGAACTCCATTAACTGATTTTAGTTTGTCTTTGGTAACTTGTGAGAGTTTTTTGTTCTTTTCTTTGCTCAAACCCTTGAGTCAAGGGATTTGCCATCCTAAGTCAAAGTTCAAGAGCCCAAGGCACAGAGGGCAGTAAACCAAGAGCTGTGGTATAGGATCATTTGACTGCTGGTTTGCAACTGAGTGCTGGAAGCTATTTAGCTCTTCCAAGTATCAGTCTCTCCATCTGTAACATGGCAAGCAGCAGCCCTCAGCAAAGTCAATACGCAGTTCATTACATAAGATGCTGTTTCCCGACTTTGAAGTACAGCAAGCTATCTCCTGAATTCCTTCAGTAAAACAGTACTGCAGGAAAAAGAATCATTAATAACATTCCCAAACTTCAGTTTACCTCACTGCACCCTCATAATCACCTATATCCAAGATAAGGCCTACAAAAGGTGTTAGCTTGTTCCAGTACAGCCCATAGCAGACCCAGGCCAGAGTTGCATCTTCTGAACTCCCCTTTGAAGTGTGCAGATGAGAATTTAAGGTCTTTTAAAAATAACAGCAATAGTAAAACAATTCCCTATCCATGGGCCTAAGCTACTGATTGTCAATCTCAACTATGTATCATAGTCATTGATAAACCTGGTAAAGATGCTTTGATCTTCTATGTATAGCTTATCATCAATAATCGTGGGCCAATCTAACACCATGAGGCACCTAATGTGACATACTAAGTATGGATCTACATAGGGCTCTTGTCATAAATGTCTAAAACTCATTTCTTGTGAATCTAATGTTAAAATGACAAATCCAGATTGTGGGACACCACCCAATACTATTGGACTAGCCAGACACTTCAATAAAATCAATGTCATGCCCTGTGCGGTGGTGCACACCTGAAGTCCTAGAAACTTGGGAGGCTTATACAGGAGGATCACAAGTTCAAGGCTAGTCTCAGCAATTTAGTGAGACCTATCTCAAAATAAAAAAATAAAAAGGACTGGGGTTGTAGCTCAGTTGTAACGTATCTTTGGGTTCAATCCCTAGTACCAAAAATAAATAAAGGAATTGGGGATATACCTCAGTGGTAAAGTACTCCTAGGTTCAACCCCCAATACCCACCTCAAAGTAATAAATTCTACAAAATCAATGTCATGAGAAAACACACAAATGCATATATATGATCTGTTGAAAAATGAAGACTTGAGAAAATATTGAACGCAATACATGAAGCTTTATTAGCTCCTAGATCAAGAAATTACATCAAAAAGCTCTAATATTTTGAAAATTGGAGCAACTGAACATAAATTATATGTTAAGACTGGGAATTGTTCATTTTCTTAGGTGTGGTAGAGGTATTGTAGTTATACAGGAGAATGTCTCTACAAGATACATACCTGATTTACTTTCCAATAAAGGGTCACAATGTCTGTGGCGCTTTCAAGTGGTTCATAAAATCTGTAACTTAGGCAGTTGTTGTCAAACAGCTAACAACTGATGAACCCTAGGCAAAGGGTTTATGGGTGACCACTATAAACCTTTCTTCTAACTTTTCTCTGGGTTTGAAATTTTTAAAAGTAAAGAAAGTAATAAGGACCCTTTGACCATAATTTAAAGTGAAGTAGCATCTCCAGAGTTGGGGCTCAGGAATCTATTTTCCAAAAAAGTCATCCAGGTGATTCTGACACATGGCTCAAGGGAGAGAGAGAACCACCAGTCTTTGGTTCCTGACAGTTCCATAACCCAATTATCTTGGATAGTCTCAATGGTCCCCAAAAGTCTTAACACTGAATCTTGTACAGAGGAATAAGGTGCGAGTCCTCCCATGGGAGCTTTGGCTACTATCAGAGACCTATACATTGATCTTTCCAGGAGCACAAACTTCAGGGCACTGAGTAAGCAAAAATAAAGGAGCAGGGAGCAAGCCACAGAACTGCTTCAATGATCAGGTGAAGTATCTCTGTTTTGCAAGGAAATTTAATTTAACATTGAACATAGAGGGTTCACCTGGGGAGGGCAGAGAGGGCAGGTAACATTTAGGGATTGTTACACACCTGAGTCAGGTGTCATTACTAACAACTTCTGCCACCTATGGGCATGGGCCCTCTACAAAGCAATTTGTCCATTGTCTACTATTAAGAAATCCAAGGGAAATTGAAGCCAGACTGATTATGGGACCATTTAAACAAATGCAAGAAAGAAAAATGCTAGGTTTCCATATAAATTACTTTTATTGAAGAGGAAAAAAATGTTTTCACTATGAGTACGCTGCTCAAGAGAGGGGAGATGGAGATGAGAAAGCACAGAGGTTAGAGAGAATGCAAGTTTGGAAGACAGAACTCTTCCCAGGAACAGGAGTTTGCCTGCAGTCTCCTGAGAACTTAGAGCCAGGGAGATGTGGAGCAGAGACCCACGTGGGACATAAAGCAGCTGGTGATGGTTGCCCACAGCTAACAAGAGGCTGCTCCTTCCACATCCCTCACCCAACCTTTTGGCAGTAGGAGCCTCCCTCCTAGCCGATTCACTACCTGACACCCAGAGCATTCCCTGAAGAGCTAGCCTGGGTTTCTGGGTGGCAGTCCCTCGGGAGCAAGGCTTGTAAGCTCTTGTGGCTCCAAGTGCCATCAGTCCCCCTCCACATACTGCCGAGGACAATGCTCACCAAAATACCACCAACCACTCCACCAGTAATTCCTATTCCCAAGGCCAATGTCACCTTCTTTTGCCACTTTGGCCGGAAAGGCTTGGAATGGTTGTCCAGATTAACCTCCAAGCCTTCATCTACTAACTTCTGTTCCTCGGTAAGAGATTGAGAGAAATTCAAGTTCACCAACTTTGGAGGAAGGACCCTCAGCCCAAAATAGAGCCTCTTCACAAACCTCAAGTTTTTTAGCAGCTGCACATCACAGCGGTATGTCCCAGAATCATACTCCTGGACAGGTTTAAACCTCAAAAAATAGGATTCAGCTCTGAAGGGTCTGAAGAGCTCATCGTCAGTGGAAATGATACCCCGTGCAAGTCTCCAGGTGAAGCGGAAAGCTTTCCGTCCAATCTCCAGGATGTCTGAACTCAGACAGCTAAGCTCAAACTCCTGCCCATCGAGGACGGTGAAATGCAGCATCCCACAGATCCAGTTGGTCAGACATTCCAAGCGCTGAGACTGACACTTCCTCCTCACTCCATCAGGGCCCACCTCACAGATGGTCTCCTCTTTATAGCCAAGGCCGCAAGTCACAGTACAGGTTGTAGCATTGACAATAACTTTCCCTACAGCTTTCTGAAGCTTTTCAGGGATGGCCAGTGTTTTAGGTGAAGTCACCACCAATGGCGGGTAGACAGTCAACGCCAGACTTGTGAGGATGAAACCAGTGGCCGAAGTCTTCATGTCTCCACAGGCATTTCACCACCCTTAGCCAGAGCCCTCTGGGTATTCCAGTTGAATTCTCTCTGCATCATAAATGAATTCCTTCAACATGGGATGTCCTTCAAAGTCAAGAGATATATGATGCATGCACTGTCAACTAAACAATGCAACCAAATACACAAAATCTCAGTCCTTACTCACAAGTGAGGTCCCAAGGCAGAAAAAACAACAAAAATCAATCACAATGTTGCTGCTGCTTTACTATCTATGCTTGTTAATGACCACCTTACCAGTCTCCGTTCCTTTCATATCCTCTTAATAGATTTAAATCCACCTCTTGAAAAGACACAGATGGAGGGCTGGAGATTGGCTCAGTGGTAGGGTACTCTCCTAGCACGTATGAGGCCCTGGGTTCAATCCTCAGCACTCCAAAAAACAAACAAAAAATCCCCACAGATGGACAAGTGAATTTCCAAGTGAAGTTACATTCTCCTACCCTTTCACTCCCCTTCCATGTGGGATAATTAAAGATTTCAGGATTCCCAAGTTGAATCTGATCAAATAAAAAAAAAAATACCAAAGTCTAAAAAGAAGAGATGGTTAAGCAAATTAAGTTCCAGTTCAATACCTTGAATTATTTACTATGAGTGGTCCTAAAGATTCTATAAAAAGGATCAAGAACTCTGGACTGGGAGGCAAGTGACTTACCCTTTCTGAATTTCTAATTGTTTCCTCCTCCATATATAAAGCCTTCCCCACCTATTTCAGGGAGATCACTTTTGACCATCAAATGATGCAGGGCACATGAAAACACTCTATGAAGTGTGACACATTGGTCGGGTATAAGGAATCTTTAAAAAGAAAGAAAATTCATGAAGGCAAGGGCCAAGACGCCCTATCAGATGAGCAAGAGAGGCTGTCAAAAGTAGCACCGCTCCAAGCTGAAGGTTCTCCTGTCTCAGGGTACTGAAGACTTGGGCTGGGCCAAAGGATGCAAGCTGCTGCCTCTGGGCCTGTTCCCTTTGCCCCACAGAGCAAAGGGGCTCACTGATTCCTTATGTTCATGAGGGTTGCTAGGAAACAGCTATGAGGTCAAAGACAAGTTCTCAGTAATATGACAAAAAATTAATAAACAGACACTCAGATTTGGCAGTGATTAAAATCAGACTTTGAAAGATCTTATTCTTGAGGAGACAATGAGTAGTTGGTAGATTTTAAAGCTATTTAATACAGGAAAAAAGACGAATAAAGAGGAATTTAAGAAAGGTCCCTTGGAAGCCTGGAATTTCCTGGCATGCATTTTTGTAGCCTCCAGAATTTAAACTATGGCCTCTTTAGGGTAATTAAACAAACTTACACTGAGTTAAAAATCTGAAGAGATCATTCCTAGATGATCTTTTTGATTAACAACACCTTTTGTTTCAAATTTATTTATGATCTTGTATAAAGGCAGAAATTTAGACTCTGTGCCCCCACCCCACCACACTCTCCAGCTCTCTAGTTCCATACAGGGCTCTAACACCATCACAGGAAGTCACATTCCCCAGTATATGAAAGTGGCTGGTGAGCTCCAGAAGTGATCAGTGTTTACAAACGAACATCTGCACCTGTTCTTTAATAAACATCCGATTTTATTTACAAAGCATTAAAGCTTCAGCAAGAAGTACCCAAGGCTACGTTTTTATCTTGTACAAAACTACAGAACATTTGAAAAACAAAATGGTGGGCAGGGAGAAGATGACAAAGGGAAGAAGAGAATATACATATATTACACAAATCAAGAAACTCAAACTGAAATGGACAGACAGTTTTAGGGGCTGAAAAAAAAAATCCCCAAAACATAAATAATTATCAGGAGCTGCTGCCAGAGATAATCTGACAGGACGTGATTTTCTCAGTAGCCAGTTGAGGAGTTGGACAGAGTATAAACACAAAATGCCCAGGTGAGGAAACCAAACTCCTTTATACATGGGAGTAAGGCAGAAACCCTCTGTATCAGTCTCCACACTACAGTGTGCATCACAGAGAACGGGAATGAATATAATGTCTGCAAAACAGAAACATGTCCAGTGAGCCATCTGCCAATCTTAACCACTGTCCAATTCACGTGAAATTCACGAAATGAGCACTTGAAGAAGTAGCAGTGGCAACTAAAAAATTCAGGAAGAGTTCTGACTTCTGGGAAAAATAAAAAATATATATATTCTGAAAGATGGGATGGGAAAAAGAGGCCCTTACTGATGTGTTCTACTTTGATTTCTATCCTACAATCTAAAAAATAATCAATGTGTTTGGCTACCTAAAGGAGCATCCACCAACTGATAAAGACTTCCCAATAATCGCAGTATTTAAATTCTCCTTTGAAAATACTGAGAAAATGATGATCCAGGGTAAGCACTTTGGGTCAGCTAAAAGCTCTACTCAGACAGGCTACTAAGCCCCTTCCACACCTGGTTTCCTCACTCTGGAGTTTCAGAAAATTTCAAACACCTAATGTACACATCCATCCAATCTGCTACTTTTTATTTAAACAATAGAAAAAAAAAAAAGCTAAGCAACCTTTCACAGAAAGGAAGTGACTGGGAAACACAGCAAGAAAAAGGAGCACAAATGCATGGATGCAAGAGGGGAAAGATGCACTGGCTGATGGGGACAGGTTTCTATATGCAATAATAATAATAAAAAAAAATTTACCTTGATCTTTGATTTGAACTGTTTTGCTGCTTTGATTTTGGAATCTGTACTTTAGTCCTTGCACAGGTTCCCCCACCCCAATAAAAAAGAAGCTTGTTGAGAAACACCTTGTTTTGTTCCCAACTCTGGAAGCCAGCACAGATAAGGTAATATAAACTGTTGATGATTCTTGGCTGGAGATGGATAAAACTAGTTATCTTCAAAATCCATGATTAATGAGACTGAACCAATACTGGAGAAACATGCAATGCAAGGAAAAACCCTGAATCTCCTACTGCCCAGCTTCTTGAGCAAAATGTATGACAGGAAGAGGGGGACTTCTTATCTTTCTTCTTTTCCTGTAAATTTGAAATCTTTCAAGCACGTTCTTTTCTGCCCAACCTTTGTACACTAAATGGAAATACAGGAGTTATCTGAGATAAGGTACATTTAAAAATGAAAGAGAATATGCAACAGAAGTTTTCCTAGGATACTGGAAACAAAATTTCAGATAAGAACAAGTCACTCGAGGACATGCATTGAGGACGGAAGGCAATCAGGAGACAGGAAATGATATGTCAAAATGATTCTGGGTACAATAGCTAGATGAACAAAACATAGGTATCTTTTCTCCAGCAACACAACCAAGCGTTGAAGTTTATATGAGTCAAATCTCCTACTGGATGCCTTCACAAATCCTCGTTCCTGAGAGCCTATTTGGACTTACGCTTGAAAGGGAAGGTAAGGGACATATACTCTTCTTCCATAATTCACTTCTTCATTCAAACATAAAATTCACTCCTTCCACCTCCTGGGTGGGAGGCAGAGGCCTTTGTTTTAAGTTAAAGTCAATCTCAAATAACTGACCACACTGTCCAGAGGCCACCTGATGGCAAGTGAGGAAGAACGAAGAACTTCAAGGTCTTCATAATAGTTCTGAGATTGCTCCTCCTGCTAAAGAGATTAGACACAAAAAGAATTCTTTTACCATCAATTCAGATTAGTTACTTCTAAGAACAGAAATACTGATGGATGCTGCACTCCAAGCATATATGCACCAAGAATGCCCCCCCTTTAAGGAAAAGTTATAACCAATTCCAACTCCTAATTACTCTTTATTGAAGCAACAAATAAACTAAACCCCAAATCTCCTCCCCAACACTCTTTTCAGTACTGTTCCAAAGGGATGGGGGTGGAAGGTGCTAAGCTGCTGACCATTCTCTATGGTGTTAGAAAGAATGCTTAGCAATCAAAAGGATGTGATAAACAGAAAAAAGGAAAAGTACTGAACTTTTTCTATATTAGACTAAAACAGTCACTAAATGATTAACAATGAGAAACCCTGTCCAAGTACCACTATTCCTTAAGTGACATTTCCATTACCTGAGAATCCCAAATAAAGTGAAATGTTAATTAAAGCTATTGTCCATATGTCTACACACCAATAACTAACTGATACACAAAATCCTAAATAGTAAAATCAAATGACCACTTCCCTGGTTACTCTACAGAAGCTGTTCAACCTCCCAGGGATGTCCTTAAATGAACTGTTGTAAAATTATAAACTAGGAAGCATAAAAAGAGAACAAGGTGAAGAAAACCCTCCCAGATGTCACTTGGAATGGAAGAAAATATACTGCTTAAGGGTAAAAAGCTTTAAAAAAAAAATTGCCCAAGTTATGAAGGAAAACTATCCATTTATAAAAAAAATTAGCTTGAACCGATTTTAAAGTTCCAGTATAAATGAAATTAGTGTTATAAAAATATATTCACATTTGCCTGAGAACAGCCTGAAATCAGGACAAGATACAACATTCTCTCACTGACACAATCTGCTGAATACTACACTGTTAAATCAAATTAAAAAATTTATGTAGCACCTGTTTTTCAGATCACTCCCAAAATAAAACATAATAATAAATTTGAGTTTGTTTTAAAAAAATCTTAAGATAAAAGAATATACTATAAAGCTCAATATTGTGCGTTTACCCACTTAAAGGCTAGTCTCACTGATTTTTCCCATAGGTACCCTGATCAATTTAGTTTTAACAATTTGGAAAGAGATACAATATTGCCACTGTAATTCTAAATCATAATGGGAGAAAGTGGTTTGATCACAAATCAATGGCCTTGGGGCTGGGGTTGTGGCTTAGAGGTAGAGAGCTTGCCTAGCATGCATAAGGTACTGGGTTCAATCCTTAGCACCACATAAATGTAAAATAAAGATGTTGTGTCCACCTAAAACTGAAGAATATTAAAAAAAAAATCAATAGCCTTAATAATGGACACTCAAAATGACTAAGCACCTTATACTGATTATCTGTGCAATTTGTGTTTCAGTAACATCCTTATGAAAAGACATAAAATTCAAACATACATACATAGGCTTGTTGAGGCATTAGGCACAGAACAAAACCAGAGCATACGATACCAAGCAAGGTAATATACACAGAAATAGCAACACAGAAGACCCGCAGCAGTTGCCTGAAGGGAACACACTGTTTAGCTACAACATAAAGGAAATCTCCAGTAATATAATATTAAGGAGTTCAGTTTAAGATGAATAGCCATTTTTGGTACCTCCTAATAGCAGTCTCATCCAGGGTAGCTTAAGAGAATGCAGGGTCATGATTTTCAAATTCTACCTTATTCAGCTAATAAGATCACATGAGAAAGAATATCCAACTCGCCGAGTTTAGCAAGATTTCATAAAATCAGTCTTTGAGACTGTTCATAAAAAAAGAAAACAAAACACACACCTTACTCATTAACAAGTGATTAAAACAATTGGGTTCTGTGACTTGTAGGTGATGGGACAGCATCAGGGAGCAGTAGTGCAGAATGGCCCAAGGCAGGAAAACCTGCAATGGTGTCTGTCCGCCCCCAGAAGCAACACCTCTGCTCACTTTGGCCTTTGCTACCCAGAACAGACCCAGGTGCACACCAATCCCTCATGCTCACTGTCCCATGAGGCCTTTAGGCCATGTATGTGATAGACCAAAACTTTGAGTTACTTTGCTCCTGATAAGCCAAAATCACCACCCTATTTCTTAGGCTACATGGAAACGCGAGTCTGCTCACATCTTGTTTCTTTCTAGGACTCTCCTCTGGAGAGTAGCTAATGTACTAAAGAACAGACATTTGATAGATGGCACTGATCCGCCAGCCTGGCCTTTCCCTGGGAAGTCCCGAGCTCCAGGGTTACTCCTGCCATGCTTCATTGATGGGTCCTCACTCAATACAGAAACTATATCTTCATGAATGTAGGCACTCAGTTGCTAATCCAATACTAATGAGCTGTTTGATAGGAAAGAATGTTCTGTAGCTCTAGATTCCAGGTGAATTCTATGGTGATTCATTTGTCTTCCAATTTTCCCTTGAAATGCACCGTATCTCAACACACACAGGGTTTTGTGGAACAGGTTCTATAGCAACTGGCTAATTGCAGATATGAGCAAACAGTTGCCACCCATCTAGCCTGGGTAGCATCACAACCTACACCTAAGACCCTGCCTTCAAACAATCTTGTTTTAAAAACAAAAGCTGTTCCATTAAATAAAGGGGGTTTACAAAACATGAAAACTCTCAGACTAGATGGATTTCTAAAGAGGCCTCTGATATTCTGAATTAGGTTTTACTTCTTGGTACCTGTTGTGAAAGCGATGACTACATATGGACTTTTATGGAAAAGCCTGAAGGTAATCTTTTATTGAAAAATCTTCTGTGGAAGAATGAGATCCAGATCCCAGTTTCCCTCAGGGGCCTTGAAGGGCTGTGTGCTAATCAGCT